GGTCTGCTGGTGGGAGTCAGAGGGAACTTGAGGGCCCCTCATGGGGGATGGGATGAGGTCACCCTGGGGAAACCAAGGCAGCAGTCAGGAGCCACTCACTAGGAAGAGGTTGCCAGATCTGAAAAGCATAGAACTTAGTGGAAAAGAGGAAAAATGGAAGGAGGCTGTAGCACCCACCACCTACCTATATTAAAAACCCACAAAGGCGCAGGACTCAGGAGCCCACTCTCTGACTTGAGTCTGGAGTCAGATGCCTGCTAGCTGTGTGACCTGGAGCCAGTTCCTTAAGTCTTCCGTGCCTTGATTTCCTCAAATATAAGGAGGACATGGTTTGAGCACCTACCTCAAAGGCACTTAGCACATAGTATTATGTGCTTAGCACACTCCATACATGATTATTGAATGAACAACCTTACTGAGTGTTTACAAGGACACATGCAGACAAATAATCCAAGCTCAGGGATGCAGATCCTGTTGTCTGTGGGGAGCTGAGGAGAGGCATGGGGAATTAGGATCAAGGGAGTACATGGATAAATTAAGTTCAGAGGGGACCTTGTTCAGAGAGGGACCCTCTGTAGCCTTGGCAGCATGCCATGAACCCTCTGCAGCACTGGTACCAATAAATCACCATTGACAACGAAAATAAGTCACCCTGTGTGATGCCTATGGGCCTGACACCTGGAGAAAAGGCAGAAGATCACCTCCAGGCCCTACAACCCACACACTCCTACCTGGACTCAGCCAGGACGACGGCCACCTCCGTCTTTCATTTACCCCTTGATGCTTCCTCCATAAATGGGTCCTGGAGGCCTGAAATGGGCTTTGTGTTCCTCTCAGCACCTTGAAGGAGCAGAGTTTGGCTCTCGAGGAGCACGTGGGGACACATTTGTCTTCTCCTCCAAGTATTCCCTCCTTCCTCTCTTCATTCTTCAACCCATACATCCCTTCACCACCTCATTCATCTGCTTCTTCATTGGTTCATTTGGTCACTCACTAAAAAACATGTCTCAAGTACCCTCTGCAGGCTGGGCTGTGCACTGATGCTGGGGATACAGGATAGACAGGGAGATGTGGGCCTGGTCTCACCCTTGGACCTCAAAATCTATGAGGGAAATGATCGATACTCAGTAAACAAACAATGACACACAGGGCTAGAACCATGAAGGAAGAAAGTGGGCGACTGAGCTAGAGACCAGTCTGGAGGGCCGATTCAGATGAAATGATTAGGACTGGGGGACATCCTTGCAGAAGACTGTCCCGGGAGGTCCTGGGAAATGGAACATGATCTCCCCACGCTTGAGCGCATCCATCCTTCTGTCCATCCATCCATCATCTACGGAATTCGTTCATTCCTTATTTATTCATTTATTTGTTCAACACATGAGGAAGCTGGGTTTACTTGGGGAAAAAATTGTTTGAAGCTACACAGATCTGCGTTCAGATCACAATTTTGCCATGTACTAGCGGAATGGCAGGGAAGTGTTACTCATCTCTCCATGCCTCAGTTTCCTCATCTATCGAATGGGGATAACAATGTCTAATGGGAGACTGGTTGTGAAAATGAACTGAGATGAGGATTTGGTGAGACGGTGTCACCTGGAACATGGCAACTATTGTTCTGGTCCACTGGCCAGATGCTTAGGGTTTGCCCAGCTCTTGTAGGGATGAACACACCACAACCCAATCATAGAGCCTAGGCTGCAGCCCATTCTGGCTCCTCTAATCAGGAAAGCAGGGACACACCAATTATCCCCTTCTGGCCTCCTGAGGACCCTATCTGGTAGACACTAACATCATTTATTTAAACAAACAAAACTGAGGCACAGGGAGGTTATTGATTGTCCAAGCCCCCCCGCCAAGTAAATGGAAGAGCTGGGGGACACCCTAGGCATTTCGCCTCCAAATCCACCATCCTGTCCAGCTCACTGGGCCATTTCTTTTCAGTTTCACTGACACTGAAGAACAGCAGGTGCCCGTGAGGCCCACCGGGTCATGTGAGGTTTCACCCGCAGGTGGAATGGTCAGCACTGTGATCATGTTTTGGGATATCTGCTTCAATTGCTCGAGACAGTCGAATTTCCTAAAACTGATGGTGGAGTTCAATGGGTTCCAGCTCTGTAGGCTCTTGTTACACTTAACATCAAGAGGCTTTGGCAGGTCAATCTGGCTTGGAAATGTCTGGTCCTGACTCTGTGCCTTGTCTGAGGTTAAGAGACTTTAGTTTCAGCCTCAGATCTACTACTCACACGTGTGCTCTGAAACCATCTAGCATCTCTGAGATTTGTTCCACCTATTTCATAACACTGTCTGTCTTGCAGTCATGAGATGTTTTACAGCACAGAGCCTGTTCATACTTAGTGTTCATCGAAATGTAAGTGAACCTAGATTGGCCCCTAACACCTTGGGTTATTTATTAATGACACCTGTCAACAATGCTGGCCTCCTAGGATTTGTGTTTTTTGTTTGTTTGTTTGTTTTTGAGAAAGAATCCCAGTCTGTCGCCTAGGCTGCAGTGCAGCGGCCCGATCCTGTCTCTTATACACATCTAGATGTGTATAAGAGACAGCTATTTCATAACACTGTCTGTCTTGCAGTCATGAGATGTTTTACAGCACAGAGCCTGTTCATACTTAGTGTTCATCGAAATGTAAGTGAACCTAGATTGGCCCCTAACACCTTGGGTTATTTATTAATGACACCTGTCAACAATGCTGGCCTCCTAGGATTTGTGTTTTTTGTTTGTTTGTTTGTTTTTGAGAAAGAATCTCAGTCTGTCGCCTAGGCTGCAGTGCAGTGGCGTGATCTCAGCTCACTGCAACCTCTGCCTCCGGGGTTCATGCTGTTCTCCTGCCTCAGCCTCCCAAGTAGCTGGGACTATAGGCGCCCGCCGCCACGCCCGGCTAATTTTTTGCATTTTTAGTAAAGACGGAGTTTCACCGTGTTAGCCAGGATGGTCTTGATCTCCTGACCTCTTGATCCGCCCATCTCGGCCTCCCAAAGTGCTGGGATTACAGGTGTGAGCCACCGCGCCTGACCAAATTATTTCATGTAATGAGAAGTCTGAACGGTGGTTCCAGTAACAACATGGAGTCCCAACAACTAAGACCTTTTTTTTTGCTTCTGCTCTGCCATCCTCAGTTTGTTGACTTTTCATTCTCAGGCTTGTGCCTCATATACCCAAAATGGCTGCTGCAGCTCCAACCATCACATTTGCACACAAGGAAAGAAAAGAATGAGTAGATGGTCATTCTCTCCCCGAGGAAGGGAATCTTTTCTAGAAGACCCTAGCAGGTTTCCCTTATGTCTCATTGGCCAGAATTGGATCAGAGGCCCATCCCTAGGTCAATAAATGGAGAAATAATCAGCACCATTTCTTCTGGGGCATGTCTATAGGGATCATAAACCCCTTTCATGAACACAAGCCTGCTGCTACCTCCAAGCAGCCTCGCATGCTTCAGCATCCTTTGTCAATAAGATACAGGAAAAGACAAGAGAAGGAGTAACTGTCGTTTAAACCGCAGTGTCGAGCGTTCCTACTGACCTGGAGATGCTGAGGACTTGCCAAGGTGTGAGAGCAGCTGCAAGGAGGTCGTTGTGGTTGGGCATGGTGCACGAGAGGCAGAGAGGAAGAAGCGTGCAAGGAGTTGGCTGGCCCAGGGGCCACGCCAGAACTGGGGATTCTGTGCTGTGTGATGGGCAGGCTTTGGACAATTGTATACAGAAGGTGATCTGTACATGATGCTAGTTCATGGACTGCTCTGAGAAGTGTGGATGAAAGAGGGTGGGCAGGGAGGCTGGGTATCAGTCAGGAGGCTATGGCAGTGGTCCCCATGGTGAGCACAGGGCTGGACTAGGACAGCCCACAGAAGACATATGTTTTATCTCCTTTCTTGCGCAAGGAAGAGACTCAGTGGCAGCAGTGCAACAAGGGTGCAGGCCAGGAATCCCAATCCCCCAGGGATAACCAGCATCCAGAGACACATGGGGACAGCTCCAGCACCAAACGGCCTCTGACCAATGAGCAGAGAAGGAAAACAGCAAATGCGTTACCGTGGCTTTCATGTGTCATGAAGGTGATGCTGTAACCTGAGCCTCAGAGCTCATTTTATTTGTGAATTCCTATCATTTCTAGATGGGTGGACTGAAAGCCGTCCTGTTTCACTTGCAGCTAGGGAGAGGGGAATGCAAGAGGGCAAATGAAAACCAGAAGCAGGGTAGGGATCAGTGGCTCACACGTGTAATCCCAGCACTTTGGGAGGCCAAGGCGGGCGGATTACCTGAGATAAGGAGTTTGAGACCAACCTGGCCAATATGGTGAAACCTCACCTCTACTAAAAATACAAACATTAGCTGGGCGTGGTGGCACATGCCTGTAATCTCAGCTACTCGGGAAGCTGAGGCAGGAGAATTGCTTGAGCATGGGAGACAGAGGTTGCAGTGAGCAGAGATCGCACCACTGCACTCCAGCCTGGCCGACAGAGCAAGACTGTCTCAAAAAA